ACCATGGCGGCCCGCCATGGTTAAATTTATGTGCGCCATGGTTAAACGAGTTGCGCCATGATTAAATTTTATTGCATTTCAGTTCTGACACCTACTTTTTTTTTAATGATTTGAGTAGTTAATTGTGTTTATACTACGACTGCCATGCACCTCGCATGCCTCGAAGGAAAGCGGACTGTGCTTAACAAACACGTCGTTAATCGGCGACTATGCTGTGAAGCGTAACAATCAATGGAGAGTCAATCAGCTGATCAATATTTTGAGAGTTAATTATCCTGCACACATGTAAATAATTTGGGGGAACTTCAACATGTTCGAGCGCTACATGATTAGATAACATGTTTATAAAAGATGACAATTACGAGCATGATAATCCTAATGCATGCGATTCAAGTTTCTGTGCCAGAAAAAAATACTCTGTAAAATATTAATATTCCTCTGTACTTAATCAATTTCCCATGCTCTGTTTTTTTTTTAAAGCTTTAACTGTATTAACTTTCTGATAAAATGTTCATAAGGCCTACGTCTCAATCGCCGTCCTAGTTTTAGACTTGGAGTTACTTCCCGTTGTTATGAAACGTGGCGTGGCGCTATTTTTGCACTGGGGCACGTGGAGAAGTAAGCAAAACTTGGTGAAAAATGCAAAATCTAGAAAAATAGAACGTTTAGAAAAAAGGGACACTCGTCCAAATATTCCTTTGTGTGTTAACTTAAAAAAATATTTCATACAACAGGCTACAAAAATTCTTATATTTAATAATTTCTGAATAATATTGCCATGGTTACTGTATCAACAATTTTTCTTTAAATTCTTTCAGAAGGTTACTACAGTTTTGGGCAAATTTTGGTACATTTAAGATACAGGATTAATTCTTTTCAATTTTAATTATTTTTTTTTCAACTTTAAAAAGCGTTAGTTATTCCATTGTTTTGTGTCGCAGTGGTTAAGTTTGAAAATTGTAAAACCAATCATTGATTAATGAAGATGTGGAAGTCTTACTCTAACACGCATTCGTGTTTTCGGTCACACTTCGCCTTCGCACAGCGTCCTCCATGGTTAAATTTTCAAATGTGGAGAACCCTGATAATTGTATGATACTCATCAGAGCAATGGAAAAAGAACACATTTTATATAAAACGTATATATTGTTTGTATCTCAAATAAAAAATGAAAGCATGTACATGTCCCGCTGAAGATTAGAACCCGCGACGTAAATATCATGAAAACCTCACTCCGCGAGTCTAAAAATGGTTTTAGCGGATGAAATAAATAAGGGAAAAAATTAATGTGATTGATTAATGCTGAAAAGCATGGCTATATGTAAAGGTTACATAAATTAGATTCAACTGCATACAGCATAGGCTTTGAGGAAGACAGCTGATAATATGATAACTACAAGAAATTGGGAATCGTAACGGTATGATTGACATGAAGAATGTGTTTAATAGTTTCTTGGGTATGCCAGAGCATTCAAGATTGTTGGAAACGTGGAATAAAGAAAGTTCAATATGCTTAAATGACCCAACAAACTTGACGGCTATATATGAATGGCATCATGCGCGGATACAGGAAGTTTTTCTCAGGGACGAGGGGTCAACATAAAAAATATTTATACGAACAAGTAATAAAGTTTCTCAATCCTGAAATGTGAGAGGACACTTTCATAGGTCTATACTGTTTTTGTAGGAGGAAACCCCCTGGAGTAGGGGGGGGGGTGATCAGATGTATATTTGGCCATTACATCCTCCTGAGAGATTTTTGTTCGTTTCGTTTTTATTACATGTAACAAAATCCGATGATAATCAGCATGCACAAAATTTTGCTGGCTAACTGTGACCTCTTAGCTTCGCACCTAGGAAATATTGATCCTTAGTAGTGCCTGACGCCGTGACGTCAGGCAATAATGACCATGCAGGCTAATCTGATGTAAAATAAGTTTAAGTTTAATACAATGGTTAATTTCCTCATCAATCTCCGTCCAGACAAAAGGCCACCTTGTGGGAGTACCTGCTTTTCTTGATATTTCAGTCAATTTCTAAAACATGAAAAAACATGAAAATTACCGAATTTACATTAGATTTAATTTTCAATGTTTATGTCATAAATTATAAATTGATTATTTATTATAATGTCTTTGTATCTCCAAATAAAGATAAATGACGGGATTTTAAAAGGTCTGCAGAGGGTCAAAATAATTAAAGCCCTTAATGTTAAAAAGCAGGTTTTTAAACATTTTTTTTCTTTTAAATTCTAACATAGAAGCTAAACTTTAGGCCTATATTCTGCACATATCAAATTCGCAGACCCCAAGATTACAGTTGTGTCCCAAAATTTTCAAGTAATCTACTAAATAATTTAAATTGAGGGCAATCCTTGACAACTGTTACAGGTATTCTAATTACATACCTTATTAAATATACAGTCCAACTGTGTACTTCTTTTGCCTTACGTTAAAACCTTTAATTAAACTGGTCCTGTAAATGGTCAAGAAAATTATAAATTTTACAGATTAAAATAATATGTTACAAAAATTTGAAATTTTAACTTCATGTGTATTTTGGTCTCTTAATTACGAGTCCTTAGATCAACATAGAAAAATATATTTTAAAAGAATACAAAATAATTAAAGTCATTTGCACTCATATTGTAGCTTTTCACAATTTAATCATTATTGATTTATATCTGTTCTTAGTTTTATGATTTATTGTAATGTACAGCACGGATACGTTTTACACTGACCCCCATCAGGTAAACACGTGAAAACGACATATAATTTACAGGATTTACTGAGCAAATATAAATTCTAAAGTTAAAAAACTTTTTAAATACAAAAAAATACTAAATGAGGAACATACCCTCTGATGTTGCAGAGACGAATGTCTCCCCGAAAGCATGCGGCACACCACCACATGTGTCTGAAGTCATCGAGGTTTTTGTAGCGAAATTCATGATCGGCTCTTTGTATGGCTGATACCTAACGTTTCCCCAGCTTTTTATCTACAGGAAAGTTTAATTAACAACAGCTCAAACACTTGGGAATCCTAGAAAACATCGATATACCTTTGATAGCTGCACAGATTTGACGTGTTTACTTGCTACCGGAAGTGCTCTTGAACCTAAACGGTTGTGGCGCCGCCTATATTTCTACAAAGGGGCAAAACCGACAAATATCGCAATTACACATGTTTTACGACAATAAAAATCGTGTTATTAAAACATTGGTTGAAGACTTCATACGTATGTGCAGAAAAAAATTGTTTTCATCATTTTTTCATTTATCTACTTATTGTTATCTACTTATTGTTTATTAATATTTCAGCACCTTACATTAGAATACAGCAGAATAATTTCAATGCAAGGAAAAGATCGGGGGCATTCCGAATAAATCGTTCATCTTGCGTTCACCGTTCGTTCACCGTTCACTTTGCGATCACGTTTGCGCCCCGTTCGCGTTCTACGTTCACTCACCGTTCTCCGTTCACACATCGTTCACCAAGTTCCGTTCAGCGTTCACACATCGTTTACTCACCGTTCGCTCTGCGTTCGTTCACCGTTCGTTAACCGTTCGTTCAGCGTTCGTTCACCGTTCAGGTGGGAAAGTAGAACCTTTCAGGGACTGTAAACGGGTGATATTTGAATATGTAAAAGCAATAAAAATATTCAATGTTGCTCTCACTCTAGAAGGGCGTTATACCAGATATCCTGCATGAAAGTATGGCGCAATTTTGATAGAATTGAAGAATGACAATTTCTAGCGTGATGCCAACAAATCTAAAGCAATATGAGAGGTATTTTTGAAAATTTTATTTTGCTGTTAAATTGTGTTATTATGATTAATTTGTATGTAAATTACACCTTTAAGACCAATTAGGTTAAAATAAAGTAGAAGAAAGGCTCCTATATACAATGCAATATAAAGTTTTATAAAAACAAATCATTATTGTACAGGACAAAATAATGATGTAATTTTGAATCAACCGAAGCTTATAAAAAGTTCTTCCATCGCAAATATGAGCAACTGAAGTTTAGAAACGTTATTTTTTCCTGTCATTGAAATAATTATTTACAATTTTGCAATAACAAAAAAAAAACGACACCGATCAAAGTTGCAGCTCATATTGCTTTAAGTGCAGATGATAAAAACAAACTTTTGTCCTAAAAATTGAAAAAAAAAACAACCTGGGTAATGTTTTAATGATTAAATTAACAAGTTTAACCGCCTTCTTTTCATTTTTTTTTTCTCATTTAAAGTTTCAAAACATGGAATTCTAAGTGAAAAATATTTGGATAGATTTATAGGGATGGTTGCCGAAAGGTAAAATTTTCAATATCGTAGAAGGTTTACAAATTCTTAGTTGCATTATTTGCAACAAAAATAGGCCCAGGAATATATTATAGCAAACCAGGCGCCCAATTTTTTGTTTGTATCAACTGTCCTTTAAAACATTGTGTGTCATGGTACACCAAAGTTCTCCTCCCCAGTAACTCAACTGCAGGGATACATACACATCAACGGTACTAGGGGGGAATAATCATTAAATCTCACAATTTATGCCATCCAGAGAGTAGTGAGGGTACCTTTGATAGAACTTTTTTTTTTCTTGTTTTGTTTAGTTTTTTTTTCGTGTTTCTTACCTCTCAATATTTAATGTACATGTTTATATTTCAAGAGATAGAGAGAGAGAGAGAGAGAGATGGAATATAATGTACTATTATAGCATACAATGTACGATTATATTAAAAAACGTCCTTATTGTGCCTATCTGTCTCCTTTAAGATCTAATAATGACCTACTGAACACACCGTCCTTTGTAAGGGATGTGCTAAACTCTGTTATTGGTGTTTTTAGAAAAAATCTGTTTAATTTTAAAGAGTTCACAAAGTATTCCCTTACACAACAATATTCAAATTGATAGTGGCGAACTATAAAGTAATGCTGTAACTAAAGAATTAAAATATGTTCTTATTTATTCAAACCATGTTAATATCAAAACGTCAATTCAAGAACGATAAGTCTTGGTATTATTTTAACTTAAGCAAATTACTCTTACTAGTATAATCGTGACTGAAATCGATTAAGTTTCGAACAAATGAATTATCATGACAATACTTAAAATATTGGCCGAGTTTCACACATATAATGACAAATCCTTTTCGCTTTGACGTCATGACACGTGAAGTCCTCAGTACTGATTGACCTCATGTGTGTCTCGTTAGGCTTATTGGTTTCCCCCAGGGGACAGGCATTCGGTATTAGTGTACCGTCATGAAATCTCCATATTCCATCCGTCTCCACGCCTTGAACCCAGATCTCCGTTGTACTATCTGGTATACGAACCTCTGAATTAAAGATTATTTTTTCCACTTTAAACCAACAATTCACTGAGAGATAGTCTACAAGTATATATGATTGATTTTCTGAGGAGATTTTTAATTACATGGTAATTGCAAAAAGGTGTATATATCATCTGGTTCATTTTTTTCATCAACTTTTCATATGGTTTTGATTTTTTCCATGAACTTTTTGTGTGGATAAATGTAAATAATCTCATTTACTGATTTCTCTCCCATCACATTTCGAAGATATAAAAAGTTTTACCTAAATGGTTCTTGAAAATTTCGAATTTCCTCGCAGTATCAATTTTGATGAGATCTCCGTTTTCCCCATTACAGCTAGCATTAGCCCCTGGGTAATTTAGGCCCTGAGGTACGTACTTAAGACAGATATCAAACGGAGAATACTCATAAAGAGTGTAGCCGGACGGGCATTTGGCTGTAACGAAAAGGGTGAAAATAAAATCATTCATTTATATTAAAGCATCAAGTGTTTCCTAAAGTCCGTCTAAAATAATATAGCAAAACAGTTTCATGTGAAATTGTACATATGACGAGGTTATCTGAAGATTTTTTTTGTTGTTGCTAGCAATAGAAAGGGCTGTCAGATTCAAAGGTTTTGACTTTTGATTGTGGTAATAATGATTTTTTAATTATATTTATACTAAAACAGGTAAGAGGTAAAACAAGGAAAGGTGCTCGATTTCAACAATCCATAAATAATACAAATATAATACAAATATGCAGAAAGTGCATGAAATACGGCCTCTGGAAAAATACAGTGGTTCGATCAGGTGCGCATGAGGAATTGGCATCAACTGTTCTTGTGTATTGAGCAGATGGATGAATATGATAGTAGTTAATACAAAAGCAGAGGCCTTACAATTGTTGCAGAACTTTTCTTCCCCCCCCCCCCCCCAAAAAAAAAGAGACCCAATGATTAAAAAAAAATGCAAATAAGATCTTATCAAATTCATGAACTTCAATCCATAACCCTTTAACATAAATGTGGATTACCAATAAATTTATATTAATTTGTTAACATTGTAACCTATAGGAGGACAGAAAAAGAAATACAATTATGATAATACAATTATGATAATACAAGTACTCACGAGGTATAAAAGTCCTCCATTGTGAACTGTTCATGATATTTTCGGGTGGATGGTAGCAACACAGACACTGTCGGTCAAGGTCATGGTAACTAAACATGTACAATGGCTTCTGCCTAATGAGACATGTCAAAAAACAATGCACAGTGCTGTGCATCTCGTGGTAAAGCACACATGAGCTTGTTGCATTGAAGTTTATTTCCAATGCAAAATTTACATGCACAAAACCTTTCGTTGGGAATTTTAATATAAAGACATTAAAGGTTATTAAAAATACGAATAGTGTCCAAGTCATTTCCTTTAGTAAAAGTATATCTATAGGCAACAGTTATCGCATATGCGACTGAAAATTACAAACCATAGCAAATAAGAAATTCAAAACTTTCAGGTATTTCATTAGACTGTTCAATTTCTTGTCATGTAAATGTTTTGTGTAAGGTTGATTGCTATTGTTCAAGAATATCACGAGTATTGGAATTTTATCGTTTCGTTGTCTATAATTCCATTCATATACATTTAATTCCCTTCTTAATAGAAGGCAGAGGTGGATTACAAGCTTTATACACAAAAATTAACTGAGTAGAATTGAATTTTAATACACATTCAAGACTGCAATGCAAGGAAATGAATGTAGAGAAACTTAATGGATATTCGTATTCTGTAATCTGCTTATATAGGTTTAAGCATTGTAGGTATGGGTGATGTCTGGATTAAGATTTCTAATTAAATGAAACTTGATTCGTGTCGTATATATAATTTTTAAAATTCAATGTAGGAATTCATCTTTTAAATCAATAAATAAAAGATAAAAATTATAAATGAATTTGGTTTTATATATATATATATATATATATATATATATATATATATATATATATATATATATATATATATATATATATATATATATATATATATATATATATATATATATATATCTGCTTTCTACATAAGGGGTACCAGACATAATATTCTGCCTTAAGGGGACATTTTGTATATTTTTTAATCTTTTACTTTGTGATGTTTTAAGCGCAAATTTATATATAACAAAGAACAATTTTGAGTTTTTCGCAATGAAAATTAAGAAAACATTAGTTTTTAAAAATATATATAATTTGGTGTCCCCCTAATATTTAAAAACCATATTGTATGCCTTAAGGGGACATATGCAATATATATACCTTAGGGAGACATATGCAATATATATACATTAGGGAGACATTTGCAATATATATACCTTAGGGAGACATATGCAATATATATACATTAAGGAGACATTTGCAATATATATACCTTAGGGAGACATATGCAATATATATACATTAGGGAGACATTTGCAATATATATACCTTAAGGACACATATGCATTATATATACATTAGGGAGACATTTGCAATATATATACCTTAGGTAGACATATGCAATATATACCTTAAGGAGACGAATGCAATGTTTATACATCTTAAGTAGACTGTATATATTTACAAGTATGGATACATTCAACCTTAGGGAACCCAAGTTGTTTTGAACATATTTTATTGACAATATGTCAAAGGGATCGGACACAAGTTCTAACAACTTAGGTAGTCCTGTCCCATATATAAGATCTGCATAGCCATACAACATACTTTACAAAATTTTACAATAATATATACATATACATAGAAGAACAAAGACAATTGTTTTCTGAATGAGGAAATAATATCAATTACCGAGTATTAATAATGGTAATAATAAATACAGTGTTGATATTATAAAGATATAATAATTTCAATAGAGATAATACAATCTGTAAAGTGTTAATTAAAACGACCTGATTCCTGAATAAATTTTTGAACAATTCCGAAAAATTTTTCATTTTCCTGCGAAGATAAGGAATCATCTCCCCATAGCAATTTGTGCACATTAATCATTTTTACATTATAAGTTAAAAGTATATTTAGTTATTAAAAAATAAGTTATTTTCTTATCAAAATATACTGATTTCGCCTAAAAATATCTTGCATTTTTAAATATCAAGATTTGTAGACGTTATGTATAGAAACAAATAATTCTTATACTATAATATTTTATATTTACCAACGCCTCTCCATCCTCCCCCTTTTTCTTTTTCTGGTAACATTCTTTTAACAGCATAACATGTAATATTTTTTGGCTTTGATCTGTTGAAGTAGCAACCTATCGTAAACTTTAATTTTATATAAAAACTTTAAACTTTTAATTAAAGGTATAATCCATTAATGACTATACCATTTATGATAAAATATGTTTAAGGAATCACTGTCTAGTTTTGAGAGTATGCCAGGGCATCAACAATAGTGGGAAACGTGGGATAATTTGCATAACGGGCGAAGCCCGTTATGCTAAAACTATCCCATGTTTCCCACTATTGTTGATGTCCCTGGCATACTCTAAAAACTAAACAGTGATTCCATATATTTCCATTTAATTGTGAAGTAAAATTGTAGACTTAGAAATTAAGAATATAGACTAATCGATTTAAATTACACGACGACTTCCATGCCAATTTCAATAGTCCTCGCACACTGATGTCAAACACAAAGGAAGCCCCACGAGATTTACATGCATATTTGGCTTCCTTTAGCGTCAGACAGAGAGACAGATGTTCACGAGATTTGCATGCGTATAACGCCTCCTTACCTGCTGACCTATCGACCTGCCTAATTTACATGTCGGCAGAAGTATCAAGAATATACTCCCAAATCTTTCAAAGAGTTATCACAGAGAAAAAAATTAGAAATGGAAATTTAAGTCAATTATCACCTTTTTTTATTCCATGCACTGACTATTAGCATTAAATTTTAGACCACTTTCCATGTCTGCGCCAAGTAGGCAATGCTTCATTTCATTTGTCTAATGTTAGATATTCTCAATTGCGTTAACATGGTCGATATAAACGAACTTTGGAAAGAAAATTTATTTTTCAAAGTGAGTTAGCTTGGTCCCAAATTTAACGCACTTTGAATTTTTTCAAAGTGCTTAAATTTTCATAGTGCGTTATAACAGTGTGTCCACGGATTACGCTAATATTTAGTCGGGCTTAAATTGCGTTTTCGTACAAACAATATCTTCAGTCTCAGGACTAAGTACAGTCGTTTGACCAGTTCCGGATTTCGGCCAGTTCCGAATAATTAGTAATGTAAGGACTGATTTTTAATAAATTCAACGGTGTAAAAATATTTTTTTAATGGTAAGAAGGCTTATTTATTAGCGTTTGAATTATGCGAAGTTTTGATTATTTACCCTCGGTTTAGTTTCATTATCGTCCACGAAACAGTCGACATACTTTTACAACGCATCAAACGTGAATCACCGCGACGCGCAAGTCTGAAGAAAAATCTCTGTAGATTTATAATTTTTCCAAATAAAACCACGTTCCAGGTATCAAAAGTAAGTTTGATATGTACTCTAACATATACTAAAAACTTGTCAATAATTAATGTTTAGAACACTGGAAGATATCGAAATATTTGCGTCTTCTTATTTTACCAGTTCCGAATACCCATTTTAAACACTTTTATAAATTCACTCTCCGTTGTTTTCTTCATTGTAAGCCTGATGTATTATACGTATCCCCGCTTGTAAAACGGGAAGAAAGGGGTATAAAGTAAAGGAATGTTTGTCCATCCACCCGTCTTTATGTCCATCCGTGCGTCTAACTGTACGTCCGTCCGTCTGATTTGCTCTAGGTTATCCAGTTTTTATCCGCAACCCCTCTTCTACCACTGAATGAAGTTTATTGAAGCTTCACAGAATTTAATGAGTCTTTCACAGAATCTTTGTTTAACAGTGCCAAAGTAAAACTATTTTATTTTTGGATCAGGCACAAAATTTGGGCTCCCTGAGAAAAACATAGATACCGCTACTCTTTGTAATTGAAAGGCTTATCCATCTCTAATCCGCAATTCCTCCTATACCACTGAATAAGATTTAATGATACTTTCACAGATTCTTGATTACATTGTGACATAATGAACTTTTATTTTACATTTTGATCTGACACTAATTTCGGGTCTACCAGAGCAAAACTTGTAATTTGTCTTAATTAATCATTAAGAAGGTGTGGTTTATCTTTAAAATGAGCTCAGTACCCACAGTACCTCTAGTTTCTCTTCCACCTTTGGAAATACAAATGATATATTGGTAAGAAATCAATTTAACTTTTCTTAGGCATGCTAATGGATAACATCTGGGACGTATATTTTTTAAAGTTGAATTGAATAAGAATTTCTGGGCTATCCGGAACTCGTCGGCTTATTCGTAACTGGTAAAAATGACACCTATGGTAACATGCGTAATATTTTTTTTTAAAGGCTGGATAAATTTTTATGAAACAATAGTTGATTCAGGCACGTAGTATCAGGGGGGGGGGCAGGGGGGCCCACTTTTTCTCCCGACATTACCTTTACTATAGGAAATGTATACTGAAAGGAAGGTTGCCCCCCCCCCCCTCATTTCAGCATAGTGTAGTGTTATAAAGAAAATTTACACCAAAAAGTTTAAGTTTGAATTTAAAGAAAGTTGGTCTTGAAAAAAGTTAGCCCACTATATTTATACGAAATAGAATTTTCGACTTTATAGTTCAGCCGAATCGGTTTCTTTTTCGGAACTGTCCAAACAACTGTACTTGACACCGCTGCATTGCACATGAGCAAAAACATAAACATACGGCCACATATAATTGAATTTAAATGAAAAATCATATGAATTTTGGGGGACATAAATTGTAGAAAACATGCATCTTAAATCTACTTATTATAAAATACGGTATTAACGACTTGTAACATGCCATCTGATTAAACTCTAAAAGTAAAGGTCTAAGAAAAGAAATGTTTTTGTAAATGTATTTTTCACACATTCACACTCTCTCCCTTCCCCACCCCCAGTGTCACCCCTTGGACTTGATACTGGAATAGAGAGAGAACTCGTTACAATATTGTATATGTAACTCCGCATACATAATGGACTAGTCAACTAAATTATTAAGAATTATTACAATAATACAAAATATGCATCATCATGAAAAATTACAGATTTTTCCATTACATGTACAATGTACCTTGTATGCCATACTATTTGCTCCATAGGC